CCCCACCCCCCCCAGCCTGTCTCCAGAGCAGAGGTGCTCCAGCCCTCCCATCATCTCCGTGGCCTCCTCTGGCCCCGCTCCAGCAGCTCCATGTCCTTCTGCTGTTGGGGACCCCAGAGCTGAACACAGTATTCCAGGTGAGGTCTCCCGAGAGCAGAGCAGAGGGGCAGAATCCCCTCCCTCGCCCTGCTGCCCACGCTGCTCTGGGTGCAGCCCAGGACACGGTTGGCTTTCTGGGCTGCCAGCGCATGGTGCCGGCTCATGTTGAGCTTCTCATCCACCAACACCCCCAAGTCCTTCTCCTCAGGGCTGCTCTCCATCCATTCTCTGCCCAGCCTGTACTTGTGCTTGGGATTGCCCCGACCCATGTGCAGGACTTTGCTCTTGGCCTTGTTGAATTCCATGAGGTTCTCCCAGGCCCACCTCTGCAGCCTGTCCAGGTCCCTCTGGATGCCATCCCTTCCCTCCAGCGTGTCCACAACACCACACAACTTGGTGTCATCTGCAAACATGCTGAGGGTGCACTCGATCCCACTGTCCATGTCACCGGCAAAGATGTTAAACAGCACTGGCCCCAGTACTGACCCCTGAGGAACACCACTCGTCACTGGCCTCCACTGGGCCATCGAGCTGTTGACCGCAACTCTTTGAGTGCGACCATCCCGCCGGTGCTCCGGTTGTGAAGTCCAGGTGACCTTCCAGGGCCAAAGGGGTGAGGGCTTGTCTTGGTCCTCCCTCCCTTGGTTCTGCTGGAAGTCCCAGCAGTTCTGCTGCTTATAAAGACTTGCAGGTGTTGAAGAACCGGGTGTTGCAATAACAGTGTATTCCCCACTGTAAATGTGTGTTGAGTTTTAGGGTTTTTTTATTTAATACTCAATTTTTACCTTTTAAAAGGGGATCAATGGTTTGAGAGCTCAGACCTAGGTTAAATAAAAATGAACGGAGCGAACGAAACATTCCCACGTGGAGCTTTACATCTCTCAGATACTCAACGCGCGATTCCCCGGCAGAGATTCCCCGCTGCCGAGCAAACTGCGAGCACTGAGTACTCCTGGCCTTTGTGTTGCCCAGAGGAGGAAATCTTGAGGGGAACTTGCAAAGTGGGACAGGAAAAGGGACACAGCAACTGGGGTAGGTAGGAGATTCCGCTGTGAAACATGGGCTCCTTGCCTGCTCTAACAGCAGGATCGTGTTTGTTGGTGTGTTGCCTAACGCGGTGAGATTTCCCGGTGCGCAGCTTTGCGTGTGCTTTTAATAGGTGCTGTTGTCATCCCTCCCGTGGGAGAGGCTGGGAAGGGAGAGAGCAGGAGGATTAGCTGGAGCACGCGTGCAATGCAAATGGAAACAATTTGCTGCCTGATGCTTCAACAAAAAGGTTATTGGCATGAAAGGAGATAAGAGTGATAAGAAGAACAGCACAGTTTGCCCGGGGGAGCTCGGGGCAGTGATTCCCTGTGCCGGCAGCGGTGAGCTGTCCCCGTGCTGTGCCGTTGGTTTCAGGCCTGAGTCAGTCTTACATCAAAACTTCACAGGTGCCTGTGCACTCGGGTGTTGGGAGTTCTTCCTGAGCCCTGAGGAGCTAGAGGTCGTAACTCCAGTTGTTTATATCTGCCTGAGTTTCCGTAAGATCTTGTCTTTGCTTCAGCCCTTCTTTGCCCAAATGAACACATCAGGCTCGGTAAAGGCGGGTTTCGGCGCAGTAGCTTCACTCTTGGAATTTGCTGCTGTGGATCTCTGCTGGAGACCAGCTGGCATGTCATTTACGTGGCTGCAGCAAAGCCCGATCTCAGGCAGTGCCCTGAGCTGTGCACTTAGGTGTGCTGTGTGCTCCAGCAAACACCTGGCCGCTCTCTTCCTGCCTCCTCTTCCTCAGCGGCGAGCTCAAGACCAGCTGCCTGGTCCTCTGTGTTGGCCGGGCGAGTTGCAGGGCATCAGGCTGTAGTTCCTCCAGGAACTGCTTGGAAGAATCTGGCTCCTGAGCAGCCACCTGTGTTATGTTATCCCATCCACAACTGAAATCTCCAGTGTGTAATCATTCCTAACAGAAGGAATGTGTTCCAGGCCAGGTTAGATGAGGCTTTGGGCAACCTGGTGTAGTGGAGGGTGTCCCTGCCCATGGGAAGGGGGTTGGAACTGGGTGATCTTTGAGGTCCTTTCCAACCCAACTAAGGTCCCTTCTAAGATTCTGTTACGTGTTTACAAAAGACTGCAGTTGGAAGAGCTCCGTAACTCAGTGATGCTCCTGTTCCTGCTGGGGACATGGTGGTTCCCGGCCTGGGAGGGAAAGTCCTGGAGCCAGGGGCATATTATAGAGTCTTTACAGTGGTGCCTTGTGAATCTGGTCCTCGTAGTGCCTGAGGTACAGTGTTACACGGAATATTTATACGGAGCTGAAGTAGTGCTGACTTTATGTGCTGCTTCTGCACAGTCTTACCAGTCCTGAACCAGTTCCTTATTGTGCTAGCTAAATGCAGGGACGTATTTTTACTTGCAGGAAAGAGCTTTGCTGGATTTTTGTGCCTGTGCTGGCTCAGGCATACTGACTTCACACTTGTCCTTTTCTGCAAACCTCGCTCTTTTCGTGAGGATCTGCGCTTAATTTTAAGGGACAGTTACTGTTATTTGTTGTGACCTTGTAGAGAGCACGCTGGGCCGTAGCGAGACGGACGGCGCCAGGGCAGCTCGCCAGATCGGTGTTCCCACCCTTGTTTCTACAGCGTTTGTTTTCTTGGAGAGGAAAAACATGTGTCCCCGTTTGGTCTCCCCTTGTCTCCCCCCTTACCCCGTGCCACGGTGCTGGGGTCACAGACCAGAGGACATCTCCTGGTCACCTCTGCTTTCCCCTGCAGGTGGTTGTACCAGAGGAGAGACCTTGGCCGGCTGACAGGTCATCGCACTTCGTACCGCAGCTGCGCTCGTTGTTTGAGCTTGTGACCCCTGCCTCGCGTGCCCCCTTCCTCCTCCTCTCCTGCAAATATTTTGCTTTCCCTTGTGAAATGGCCAGC